TTGTCCTGTCTTCTATAGTCTCGTAAAGACCCACAAACTAGCTCCTAGTGATATGCAGTCGATGTCACCAAACACTTTCAAGATAAGACCTATAATCAGCTGCGTAGGAGGTCCAACCGATCGTATTTCGTGGTTCCTGAACTGTATTGTGGAGCCAGTTATTGCTAACCAGATTCCCCCATCCACTTGGACGCAATACGGACAAAGATTCCATTTTGAAACCAACTACACAATTTACGACTTGCGAAACGGCTGTGTATTGGGTCATTTGTGTCACTTCCCATACCAACGTCCAAAACGAGGCAAGCATCTTACAGCGCACTGTCTGAAATGTATTACGGACAGGCATGCTGAGAGCACAGAGACTTTTGGACTCAACAAAGTGCACATCATGACTCTAATCAAGGAATGTTTATGTTGCAACATCTTCAAGTGGTCGGGTATATATTACTCCCAACTAAGGGGGTTAGCAATGGGTCAGCGCCTAGCACCGGTGCTTGCAATCTGCTTCATGAGCAGGATAGAAGAACCAGTGCTGGAACGTTTACCGTTGATGTACTGCAGGTACATAGATGACTGCTTCATTGTAACATCGACACAATCCGAAATGGATGAGTGTTTTCGACTAATGAATGAGCAGTCTCAGTACATTAAGCTCACACGCGAAGTTCCACGGAGTGGTTGGCTTCCTTACCCACCCCGCCCCCCTCAATACGCAGGTGAAAGTGTCTGATGGCACACTCAGTGTGAAATGGTACAGAAAAGCAAGCTCCAAGAACATCTTGATTCATGCCACATCTGCACATCCTTCTGCTTTGAAGCATGCAGTCGTGAGAAACATGTTTAGGACTGCAGCAAACGTAAGCACAGGGGCAGCAGAACGACAAGAATCCGTACGGCTTGCTTCCGATATAGCCGCTTCAAATGGCTATCCTGTACCAGTGAATCGTAGAAGAACCCCATACTGAGCACCGACGCCTACCGCACCAGAACAAGCTCCGTTATGTATACCATTCATATCTGATAGAGTGACTGCTGCGATTCAGAGATGTCTGTTGCGCGCACAGTTGGACAATGATGTTGTATTAGTCAGTATTCCTAATAATAACATCAAACGCCAACTGGTGCGAAACAGACTCTACGACAGGCAGTGCATATCAGAACAGTGCGTTACCTGTCCACAGGGTATCAGTTAAGAGATTGCGCTCAAGTGGTGCTAAGCGTGGTGTTGAATCTACTCAAATTGAATGGTTGGTATGTAACGCAACCTACATTGGGGGAGACTGGGAAGACCGTTAGCAATACGCGTCAAAGAACATCTTGCTGGCAAAAGGCGTGGTAATATAAGAACACCACTCGGCAAGCATTTGATCGAGGAGCACCGCGGAAACGACTTTGATGTGAAGTGCACGATTCTGGCATGCGAGACTGAGATTTCTGCCAGGAAAGCGTTAGAGGCATTCTGGATTTCTGCAAGAAATCCTAGAATGAACAACCGCAATGAGTGTTTGTCCTTAACAAATGACCTCTTGCCATTTGTGCCGCACTGCGAGCTACTAATGTGAGCGGTGGGACGTGCCATATCTGACTATAATCACTATACAAGATTGGCACAGTAAGTCCCACTCATTGTACTAACAACTAACTGAGCGGCTACATCCGCTCTCGCTGTGGTGGACTGGGTGAGTCTTTCCCTCATTCGGGATTTTCGGGGTTTTCTCAGTAGTCTGTCAGAAACGTTAGGGAAGAGGAGATCTTTGGCGGTGTAGAGAGAGCGAATTTGAATCATGAGCCACGTTTAGGCCTCTGATGAAGACGATCTAGTCGAAACGTCAGGCCATAATAAAGTTCCACCTAACAACCTCGTGTGCACAGAAGTACTTATTCATAACAACAATGCCGAGGTTTTACGAAGAGAGAAGTTGGACACTACTTGTCACAATGGGTTTTTCAGTATTGAGAAAAGAGGCGGAAGAGCCACCGGTACTGAGTCGAACGAGGCTATCCCACTAAAAAAAAAATGGACCTGCATTCAGAGTAAGAGATACCGCTGCAAAAAGGCAATGAGAGAGCAAGAATGCTAAGCGAGGGTTTAGACGGTTCTCACTTATTATGAAAAATGCCCTAACCATCACCTTCACGTGGATCGGCCTTGGCAATGGAATTCTTGTGAGGACGTAGTAGCGACGGCCAGTTCACTGGCCGTAAGTCTTACACCATTTGAGCCTCGGTGAAACCTCTGCAATTTTTGAAACCGGGCTCTCTATCGTTGTGATGGAACTCATTAATTTTTTCCCGACTCATACCCTTAAAACCAGTGAAACTTAAATGGCCAAGCCAACCGGCACAATCACGATTCAGCAAAATCTTATCAGCTTCCTTATTTGATACAGAGCCTCTGCGATTAAGTTGTCCGGAAAGTTCTCAAGCGTTTTGTGTTACTATTTTTTGTACATAAAACTCATTCTCCCTTGCGTCTCAGTAGTACATCCTGAAGAGAATTCTTTGCGCTATCTGATGGTATAATTGCCGTTTCACCATTGCTTGATTGACCCCTTTTTTCAAGAGTTTCAAGCATGTCAAAAGAGCAACTTCAGGACGATATTTCTCCTCAACTACAGATTGGGTCAATCCGCAGTTTTGAGCACAGCTCGACAATATTCAACATGGTTGTGGGGGCCCAATAAATGCTTCAATGAAAGCACCGTGGCCGGCGATGGTTCCGACAGCATTTCGTTCTGGAGATTTCAGCCTTGAAGATGAACCTCATAGCGGTCGACCTAAAGCAATATCTGACGAGGATTTTAGGGGGATTTTGGAGGCTGACCCATCCAGTTCGAGAGATTGCAGAAAAGCTAGGCGTTGGCAAATCCACTGTTGCGGATGGTCTGAAACGCATTGGGAAGGTGAAAAAACTCGACAAGTGGGTGCCCCACAATTTGAGTGACCGGCAGAAATTGGCACGTCTCGAGGTTTCTTCTGCACTGCTTTTGCGCAACAGAAACGACGTTTTTGCGAACGATTGTCACCTTGCTTGATGAAAAGGAGATCATGTATGATAATGGAGACGATTTCAGGGCAGTGGGATGGATTGCCAGACGAACACAGAGCAATTCCAAAGCGAATCCCTCACGAAAAATTATGCGTCACAGTGCGGTGGTCATCAGGCTGGTATTGATCCACTATAACTTTTTGTCACCAGGCCATCACAGCAGAGTCCTACTGTGAAGAAATCGACGAAATGTACCGAAAATTGCGTCAGCTGCAGCCAGCACTTGTCAACAGAAAGGGTCCGATTCTTTTGCATGACGTCGCCCCCACACGTTTCACATATCATTATCCATAAATTGAACTAATGGAGGGGGGGGGGGTGAAGTTCTTCCTTCTCCAGACCTTTCACCAACCGACTATCACCTTTTCAAACATTTTCAGAACTTCCTTGCTGGAAAATACTTCATCAATTAGGACCAGGCAAAAAAGCCTTCGTGATTTCGTAGGATTCTCGACCACCCAGTTTTTGCCTTTGATGGGATTTCTGGCTGGTTGCACTTGCAAAGTGCACTGATTCGAAGGGTGCTTGTATTCGATTGAATCCGATGAGTATGAGAAAGTGTTAGCATCCGTTTATAAAGTGAAACACTCGAAACGCTGAGAACTTTACGGACAACCTAATATTAAAGCAGTATGGACAGCATTTGTATATGTTTGGAAAGCAATTTAAGGTTGTGCATGCAAATAAATTTCTTCTTCCTGGATGAAAAGCTCTATACATTGATTTTTGACTTCTTTGTTCTTTTTTAGTGTTGTCTTCCCTTGTACTCTTTCACGAATGACGTCAACGTGGTTGACTAATTAATTCGAAGAACAGAGATCTTCCTCGAAAGAACTCGCTTCTTTAGAATTCTTAATGAGCCGTTGTTGATTACTTTCTTCGGCGCGGTTTTGGCTCAGAGAGAGAAGGGCATTTTGCACTTTCGCCAACTCTTCTTCCTTATTTATGATCTGAATACCAGACCTCACAAGAATGACTCCTTCTTGTGAAGCCGCCAAGTGGTGCGAGTGAGCCTCTCAAAGGAGCGGTTGAAATTGCAACAGGTTATGTGGGAAGGCAGTGCGCTTCGGAGTGGACATCCCTGTACCAGTTTCGCGGCGGGAAGTTAGACGGTAAAGGGATTAGGGTGCAAAGTTGCATCAGTGGCTACATCTCTTTCTCCACTGACTCCGCATGGAAAAGCCCTCCAAAGCCGGCCTTCCAGCCAAAAGTAATGCTCCCGGGCAAGTATCATGGAGTGGATGCATTCAATGTCTCTTGTAGAGTCATAGGGTTCATTACTGGGAATCAGCCGACGGAATTGTCCCAGCGCGCGGTCTTTTCGGTCTTTTACCTCTACAGTTGTTTGAGGCTAGAGGAGGCCTGACGAATGCGTTTCCAACGTTCCCTTTGGCATTTTCTCTTCATAGATGGTTCACTTGGCGAATTTTCTTCCACATTTCTGCAAAATCACCTAGGCTTTTTATCGCGGACCGTGCCTTTAAGTAACACGAATGTACAGGTTTCCACAAGGTTGCCTGTACAAGCTTCGCTGTGTACCGCTTGGTGCCCCCACCAAGCCATACTGCGCCTTCTCCTTCTATATTTTCGTCTTGCTGAAAAAGTAGGCAGTCAATTAGGTAACGCATTCATTTATCTACATTCAACAGTTAGCCATTTATTCACCGCTTACGATTGCATGACTGGAGAGTTTGTGAGATCGACGATCATAGTGCGCTCAGGATGACGAATTTCAGCGCTTGTGGGCGACGGCTGAAGAACGAGAGGAAGGGAGGGAAGAATCGAACGACTAGAGGGAGGATAATGAACCCGGAAAGAAAACTGGGAATGTGCCATAGAAATCTGTCCTGTGAAGGAGAACTTGTTGAACTATATGTAATAGAGTGCTTCAATTGATAGTTAAGAGATCATATCATCAGACGGTGACGACGATGTGCTGGTGTCAAGCTCATGGTGAGATTCTCTTGTGGGCGGTCTGTACCACCTGTAGTTTCGAGTTCACGTGGCCAAGTAACGGCTCGATACCGGCGTATGGTGGCTCCTTGGTGCCGTGCAACATCAGCGAGAATTTCTTCAGCGTACCACGGTGTTTTCCAGGACCCTGAATGGCCCAAGTATAGTTTGTACTCAGGAAATGGATATGGAACAGCCAATAAATACATAGTTGGTCGGGACTTACCTGGAATCTGGCGATAAGCCTCCATTTTCCTATTGGATTTTCGCCCCATGTGTGTGTGGTCATGAAAGGCCAATTAGTGAAACCATCCTTTGCATCATCGTCTTTCGGGCGTCGAGAGAGAATCATCGTTCTAAAAATAATAAAGGAAATACTCCAGCGAAAGAGCTGTGATCTGGGCATATACTAAGGAACACAGGTTATTTAGATAGCCTGGCACTTATTCATATCAAAATTTTCTTGGCGCTGAGAAAACTTCCAGTGTCAACTATGGTCATTGCTTTAAGTCTACAGGGATATGTATAAAAATGAGCCTCTTGTCTAGGTAGCTGACCCTAGAATAGGAATAGCGCATGAGGCCAGAAGTAGACTCATATGGAGGAGGAGGAATGAATTCTTATTCAAATCGGCATCTGTTTAACAATAAGACATACCTTGTTCCCATGGGAGAAACGAGGTATAGGGTTGTATCACCTCGTCGCGTCGAATTGAACGACACCACAGCTTGCACGTGTTCCAGGTATCTGACTTCAGTGGCT